AGCAAAATAATAATAATAATAATAATAATAATAATAATAATAATAATAATAATAATAGTAGAAGAAGAATTTGTGTCAAAGAATAAACTGAGAAAATATCAAAATTTAAAATGAGGAACATAATTGCTATTTCTTGCCAACATAAAAAATCTAAGGGGGGTTTACATATATACCAACCAAGTCCTATTTATTTACATCAAAACATCTAAACTATATTGTTACATTTATACCACCAAGATCTTTCATATCACATAAGAAATATCAGTATTTGAACTTTAAGAAAGTGAAATACTTACTTCCGTGCATAGGTAATGTGCCAATGGCTTATAAACAAAAATTAAAGCTTAGGTGTTAAAAGTGTAAATACACAGGAATTAAGTGATATATGCAAGTCTTCCAAAATCTGATTGAGTTTAGAACAAGTGTCCTGTCTATACCCATTATATTGACGTCGTCTCACTTTTAGGGTCCGTTTGAGGCAGCTACAGCTTATCAATAGCTGATGCGGGTAAGTTGGATGGTTGTTTGTTCTTTCCAGCTTGAAAACAACTTAACGACAATATTTTCGCAGACCAAACAACTGCTCACTAAAGAGAATCAATATGCAATGGTAGGGAGTCAATCCAGCAGGCATCTCTACCTTCCGATGCTTTCATACATTAAAAGTTTTCAGGGATACTGAAAGGAGTGTTATATAACTCTCAATTGATTAACTAAGATAATGACATACTAGTGATTTTTCCTTGTGAGCTTCTATGGTCTAGTTGGGAGGTCTCATCTATTTATAAATAGATGAATAAATAGATGAGGGAGGTTTGTAAAAGGATGAGGCTACTACATGGGAAGAAGATAGACTTGTAGGGGGGAGAGACCACTACAAGGAGGAAGATAGAAATCAGACCAAAGGGAAAGACCAAGATGAGGAAGGTAATTTGTCCAAGAAGAAGAAGAAAAAAGGGAAAGGCTTCAAGGATTGAGGGAGGAGTCTTTGATCTTGTATTGAGGTAGTTTCGAGGGAGAGAGATCAAGAGGATTGGTCATTCCTCAATGTAAAAGGAAGCCTTGTAATTCTTCTTTGCCATAGTGAATTGATGACGATTCCCTTTCGTGGATGTAGGTCTATGGACCGAACCACGTAATTGTTTGTGTTCTTGCATTTATTTCCTGCATTATTTCTCCCAGTTTTCCCTGTTTACTACTTGCCTGCTGCGGTTCTTTCTGTTCCATTTGGCTGAAGAGAAAGAAGCAGGAATTTCGTTAGTGACGAAGGAGATCGACAGCCCAGGTTAGAGTTCTGCAAGGACTGGTTCGGCTGCCAAGAAAGAAAAGTTCAACATTCTTTTCTTTCAGCTACAGGAAGGGGTACAACACTTCTACCTGTAGGGATGCATCTACCTTCCGATGCTTTCATACATTAAAAGTTTTCAAGGATACTGAAAGGAGTGTTAACTCTCAATTGATTAACTAAGACAATGACATACTTGTGATTTTTCCTTGTGAGCTTCTATGGTCTACTTGTGAGGCCTCATCTATTTATAAATAGATGAGGGAGGCTTGTAAAATGATGAGACTACTACAAGGGAAGAAGATAGACTTGTAGGGGAGAGAGGCCACTATAAGGAGGAAGATAAAAATAATACCAAGGGGAAAGACCAAGAAGAGGAAGGAAATTTGTCCAAAAAGAAGAAGAAAGAGAGAGGCTTCAAGAATTGAGGGAGGAGTCTTTGATCTTGTATTGAGGTAGTTTCGAGAGAGAGAGATCAAGAGGATTGGTCATTCCTCAATATAAAAGGAAGCCTTGTAATTATTCTTTGTCTTAGTGAATTGATGATGATTCCCTCCCGTGGATGTAGGTCTATGGACCGAACCACGTAATTGTTTGTGTTCTTGCATTTATTTCCTGCATTATTTCTCCCCGTTTACTGCTTGCCTGCTGCGGTTCTTTCTGTTCCATTCGACTGAAGAGAAAGAAGCAGGAATTCCGTTAGTGACGAAGAAGCTTGACATCCCAGGTTGGAGTTCAACAAGGGCTGATTCGACTGCCAATAAAGAAAAGTTCAACATTCTTTTCTTTCAGCTACAGGAAGGGGTACAACACTTCTACCTGTAGGGACGCATTAACTGCATGTGTTCTTTAGCAAGGTATTCTTGGACAGTCCAGCCCTTTGCACCAAGGTAATCTTCAGCCTACAGAAACTCTTAGGCTTGGGCGAACAGCAGGCGTCCTGTGGCTGTAGTCCTGGTTCTTGGACTGCAGGGTCTTCGACAGCTTGCAGGTGCTTCTTAGGTTGTCCAGACGAGAAGCAAAGAACTTGGCTGGTCTTTGGCTGACAAGAGAAGACCGCAGACCTTCAACTACAGGGAGATATTTGGCCTGCGACAATTTCTTTGCGCTGCAACAAAGTGTTCTACGGCAGTCCAGGTTTCTGGGCTGCAGCTGCTTGAGAGTGCAACAAACATTCTTTGACAATTCTGTTATTCAGTTCTTTCTCATCTAACTCAATCCACATGATTACTTTAGAAGGTTTTCTTTCAGGTGTCGGTAGGGCAGAGTGTTTCACAACAATTGGCGTCGTCTATGGGCATTCCAGCCACGATAATGACAACCGTCAAATTTGACATTGAGAAACTCACCGGGAAGAACAACTTTGGCCTGTGGAGAGTGAAGATGAAAGCTCTGTTGGTGCAGAAAGGCGTTGTAGAAGCCTTGCAAGGCCCGACAGCATTACCGGCCGACATAATCGAGAAAGAAAAGAACAAGACTCTGGACAAGACTTATAGTTTGATAATATTGAGCCTTGGCGATAAAGTTCTGAGGTAAGTTTCGAGGGAGACGACATATCAAGCGCTTTGGGCCAAACTCGAGCTACTCTATATGACGAAATCTCTGGCTAATAGGCTCTTCTTGAAGCAACGCCTATACTCCTTCAAGATGCACAAAGACAAATCAGTTTCAGAGCATATTGAGGAGTTCAACAAGATCATGGATGATCTTAAAAACATCGACGTCAAGATGGATGACGAGGACAAGACACTACTATTGCTGAACTCCATTCCTAAGAGCTACGAGCATTTCAAAGATGTGATGCTCTATGGAAGGGTGCAAACAATTTCTCTGGAAGAGGTTCAAATGCTGATTATAGCCAAAGAACTCCAAAGAAAAAATGAGATGGACAAAGAAATCAGCGGAGACAGTCTTACTGTTAGAGAAAGATCAGACAAGAAAGATTCAAAAAACGGTCAGAGCAGATCGAGATCAAGAAAGGAGGATGGAAATCAGTCATAAAAAAGATCTTTCAAGTTATCAGTTATCATTATCACAAGGATGGTCACTTCAAGAGGAACTGTCCTGACATGAAGAATAAATATCAAGAAAATCTTAAAGATCCTGGAGAAGCAAACATAGCCTCGGACGGCTATGATTCAGCTGAAGCCTTGGTGATAACTGAATCAGAATCCAACAAGGAGTGAATCCTTAACTCGGGGTGCTCTTTCCACATGTGTCCTCATAAGGACTGGTTCGAAACGCTGTAAATGGCAAATGGTGGGTCTGTACTACTTGGAGATCACAAGGGTTGCAGGGTGGTCGACAGTGGAGCAATCAAAATAAAGATGTTCGATGGAGCCGAACGAATATTGCAACATATGTCAGGTACGTACAACATGTCAGGTACGTACCAGAGCTCACAAGAAATCTGATTTCTTTAGGTATGTTGGAGACAAGCGAATACTCTTTTAAAGAGAAAAAATGATCATATCAGAGTAACTAAAGGTTCTCGTATCGTAGTGAAATGAGTAAGGAAAAATGGACAATATTCTCTAATCGGAAGAACTGTGATTGTTAAATTCATGAACTGTCTGGACTTAGTAGACTCAACCAAGGGCTAAGGGCCCCTCGGAGCAAGGTGAAAGGGAATCTCTATTATGAAGTTTTGTAATTGAAAATCAAGGCGGAGAATTGTTATATATAACTCTCAATTGATTAACTAAGGCAATGACATACTTATGATTTTTCCTTGTGAGCTTCTATGGTCTACTTGTGAGGCCTCATCTATTTATAAATAGATGAGGGAGGCTTGTAAAATGATGAGACTACTACAAGGGAAGAAGATAGACTTGTAGGGGAGAGAGGCCACTATAAGGAGGAAGATAAAAATAATACCAAGGGGAAAGACCAAGAAGAGGAAGGAAATTTGTCCAAAAAGAAGAAGAAAGAGAGAGGCTTCAAGAATTGAGGGAGGAGTCTTTGATCTTGTATTGAGGTAGTTTCGAGAGATCAAGAGGATTGGCCATTCCTCAATATAAAAGGAATCCTTGTAATTATTCTTTGTCTTAGTGAATTGATGATGATTCCCTCCCGTGGATGTAGGTCTATGGACCGAACCACGTAATTGTTTGTGTTCTTGCATTTATTTCCTGCATTATTTCTCCCCGTTTACTGCTTGCCTGCTGCGGTTCTTTCTGTTCCATTCGACTGAAGAGAAAGAAGCAGGAATTCCGTTAGTGACGAAGAAGCTTGACATCCCAGGTTGGAGTTCAACAAGGGCTGATTCGACTGCCAATAAAGAAAAGTTCAACATTCTTTTCTTTCAACTACAGGAAGAGGTACAACACTTCTACCTGTAGGGACGCATTAAGGTACGCATTAACTGCAGGTGTTCTTTAGCAAGGTATTCGTGGAAAATCCAGCCCTTTGCACCAAGGTAATCTTCAGCCTGCAGAAACTCTTAGGATTGGGCGAACAACAGGCGTCCCGTGTCTACAGCCCTGGTTCTTGGACTACAGGGTCTTCGACAGCTTGCAGGTGCTTCTTTGGTTGTCTATACGAGAAGCAAAGAACTCAACAGGCCTTCAACTGACAAGAGAAGACCGCAAGCCTTCAACTACAGGGAGACCTTTGGCCTGCAACAAGTTCTTTGTCACTGCAACAAGGTGTTCTACGACAGTCCAAGTTTCTGGGCTGCAGTTGCTTGAGAGTGCAGCAAACATTCTTTGGTAATTCGGTTATTAAGTTCTTTCTCATCTAACTCAATCGACAGAAGTTCTTTGGAAGGTTTTCTTTCAGATGTCGGTAGGGCAGAGTGTTTCAAAACAAGGAGAAATAGGTTAAGTTTACTGTTCATTTGACAAATAACAATCAAAACAAAAACCAAAATAATTTATCAGATGACGCAGACAAGTGGGTTACCTTGCAAGAAAAAAACCTTTGTTAATTAGTACTGAACGCTCCTTTAAAGTCATTGAAAAATATGTGAATCATTCCATCAGCTTTACAAAAAATAAAAAATAAAAAAAAAAAGAAGCCTGCTACACAAGGCATAGTGAAGTCTAGTGAAAGGGGTATCCAAAAGCTTGCTCCCCTGCTACTATTTATGTTTATTTAAGTTGTTCTTCACTATAGTCAGAGTTAGAGGGTTTGTTCCTTCTGCGAAGAACCGCAAAAAGAATTGCAAGCCAGAAGGAGCTCAAAGGTGGTCAAACAAGCAGTTCAAACAACCCTGTAATCACACAGATTTTACAACCAGGTCCATCATCTTCTCGTGCAGAAGCAAAACACAAATCCGCCGACTGATCTACTCTAAACTTGCCTTTTAATGTTTTTATTCCTTAGATTCGAAGAGTCTGCAATGCCTTGCAGCAACTTGAGCACTTCCATGGTGTCATTGACAAAATATTTTGCTTTACTTGGCTTCTGGCCAACTGTACAGGCAAACACTTCAGGAATTGCAGGAAATAATGAACTGGAGGCTGTAGAATTGATGCTTTCAAACATGTCCTCATCAGACCGATCATCGCCGATACACATCAAAAAATCAGGCGATTTTCCTTCATTTATAAGCGTCCTAAGCAGCTTCTCGACAACCAGTCCTTTGCTGACTCCCTGTTCACAGATGTATCAGTGTTGGTTAGTGCAACAAAAATCAGATTTAAAATTGTAAGTATTAGGATTGGGAAACAGTGAAATGCATACTTGTGGTTTAACTTCCACAATTTGATTCCCACTTTTAACAACAACCGGCTCGTTGGCAAGAACACTCTCAAGATGGTCCAGCAACTCCTTGGCTTGGCAGGAGCCAAAGTCATGATCAGCATATTGATAATGCCAGACCAAAGCACTCTCCTTCACTTCTATGGAAGATCCATCAGTTGTCTCTGTATACAATTTCATGACAGGTTCCGCTATCTTCTTCCACTCTGGATCCACCACAACCGGACTGGATTCCCAATTAGAAGATGCATTCCACCTACAAAAGAGAACATGCATATCGGTCAAGCGATAATCCAGAGACAGCAAGTACAGCAAAATCTAAAGGTAAAATATGAAAACCTGATGAAATAGCCATGCTCAGCAGCAATTCCAAGTGCTTCACATGATGAAAACCATTTTGCAAGAGAAGCCCGACCTCTTCCACTAACAATAAACACGCTATTCCTAGGATCAATGCACAGGGTCTTCAGCACAGAAATAATTTCTGTGCTTGGATCCTTTACTATAGATGTTTCTGACATGAGTGTTCCATCATAGTCTAAGAAGATTGCTCTCCCAGTGGTTCTATTGTAGGAAGAGACCACATGGTCAACTGAGAGCTTCCTGAAACTAGGAGAAAGGGAAACAACTCTGAAACTTAAACCAAGGCCAACACCCCAGCACCTTCGGTTGTAGTGATCTTTGCATGCCCTCTCAAGATCCTGAGAAAAGCTGCGAGCCCAATAAGCAACATGATGAGAGCTCACGTAGCGGTAATGCTTTTCATGCCGCAGCTGCCTTTCAGACTCGTTCATGTCGATGGCGTGATATAAAGCATCGGCCACATCCTCAACACTCCAAGGGTTCACCCTGAATGCTCCACTAAGAGATGGCGAGCATCCCACAAATTCAGATACAATAAGTGCACTGGTTCGTGCGGAACCATTGACAACATCTCTTAAAATATCCATCTCCTTAGTTCCTTGCCGAGAAACTATGTATTCATATGGCACCAAATTCATCCCATCCCTTACTGCATTTACGATGCAACACTCCGCAGCAACGTAGTAGGCAATCTTTTCATGAAATGGGATCGCATGATCGATGAGTACCACAGGATTGTAGCCTTGGTTACCAAAGCGAAGGTTGATTCTTTCTACTAATGATAATGCCTCTGATTTTGCATCCTCCACATCCTTACCAGAGCTCCTTTCTGGATTTACAATTTGAACCAGAACCAGTTTTCCTCTTAGATCAGTGTTCCTTTTGAGTAGAATTTCAAGTGCAAGTAACTTCAAGCTGATGCCCTTGAAGATATCCATGTCATCTGCACCTACTAGCAACTTTTTGCCCTTAAACTTCTGCTCAATTTCTTGAACCTTGCTAATCGTAGCAGGAAGACTTAATAGAGATTGAAGCCGTCCTATGTGAACACCAACAGGAAGAATTTTAATGCCTACAGTACGACCGCCATACTCGATTCCAATGTGACCACGCTTAGATTCATAGTTCAGCCCAAGCATTCGACTACAACAAGAGAGAAAGTGGCGGGCATAATCAAATGTATGAAAACCAATTAGATCAGAGTTAAGCAATCCTCTGAGAACGTCTTCTCTGACAGGGAGAGTCCGGTAAATTTCTGAGGAAGGAAATGGGCTGTGGAGGAAGAAACCAAGCTTGATTCGGTTGAGTCTCTTCCTCAAAAAAGTGGGAAGCAGCATTAGGTGATAATCATGAACCCATACATAGTCATCATCTGAATTAATCACTTCCATCACCTTGTCAGCAAATATTCTATTAGCTGAAACATAAGCTTGAAAAAGAGATCGATCAAAAAGTTCTCCCTTGTTGAGACAGATGGGAAGCATGTAATGGAAAAGTGGCCACAACTGTTTCTTACAGAAACCATGATAAAATTTATTTAGAAGGTCGGAAGGAAGGAAGGTGGGGACGCAGTTGTAATCATCCAAAAGCCTTTGAGCGATTTCTTCCTGCTCACTAAGATCCACGTCAACTTTAAGACTGCCAACATAAATAACTTCAGTTTCAGAAGATAAACCATCTTTAAGCTGCAGCAGAATTGAGTCTTCATCCCATGAAAAGCACCACTTTCCCGTTTGTTGATCTTTCAAAGAATGAAGTGGGAGAAAATTAGCAACTATTATTATTCTTCGACGTGATACCGATGTCAAATTGTCCATATCATCATCATTTTTTATACTTCCCTCAAGATCAGCAATCAGACCAGGAGAACTCATCGCACGAGAAATTGTTTTCACAGCTTGTGGAAAATCCTTCATTCCATCCGAGTACATTGTTAAAAGACTTGTACAAGAATTTGGTATCATGTTTCTGGAAGAAGGCAATGTATATTGCAGGAAAGAAGTTTCAAAGTTAATGAAATGTAATAACCCAACTTCAAGTCTTCAATATTTAACAATGAGGATAGCTTTTTGGAAAGCCGCAGCGAATATACTTAATAGTGTCACCTGAAGGATCATTAATAAAAATATGTCTAGGTCAATACACTTCTACGTTATGCATAGAAAAAATTTAGTGTGCGCACATGTAGGAAAATACCAAAAAAGAAACAAAGGTTAATAACTACATTGAAATAAATGTTGAAACTTTATAAGGATCATAGTAATTGAAAAAAAATAATGAAAACATAAAGATTTTTGGTTCCATGACAAAATATGGAACAAAATATAAATACTTGGATATTTTGAAAAGGCTGGCATGTGGTATAGGCTCACTTTCTGCAATGCAACACATCAATTAAGTGATATGGAGTCAGAGATAGTGCCATAATTGCCAAATGTTACAATTTGAAAAGTATGGTTAGTTTTGAATTGAGAGCTGAAGTTTTATGAGGAATATGCGTTGATGTAAATGAGTTAACCCAATAGAGTCGTTGCAAAGAATATAGATATTTTGTTCCTTGATGGGGAAAGTTTCAAGTTAAAAAATTACAAGTTTGCTGTAATTTCATGTTCACACAAGATATATAATAAGAACAAAAAAAATTAAGATATACAGGTGAAGCAATAATCAAGAAGTTTACAATTTCCACCGATAAGAAAATCAACTGGGGACGCTCGCAATTATGAATATTAAAAAATAAAAGGAAATTTACATACCTAGCACACAATTCTTTTGTATTTACATATCTCACAACTAAGCTTCTATGTTCATATACATAGTACTTTGGGCTATTAACCTGTGCATGAAAAGGTGCAATTCACTTTTAAAAAGTGAAAATAGTGCTATTTTTGGTGTGATATTGAAGATTTGAGTGCTATGCTTGCAAATATGAAAGTTTTGGTGTGAAATATGTAAATAAATTAGAATTGTGTGCTATGCATGTAAACGCCCAAAAGAATAAAATGACCCTGAGAAAATTTGCAACTGGATAAGAATTTGAAGTAGATTCTAATCAAGTTTTATCTACATGCATCTAAAGTAGGTTCCAATCACATTGAAAGCCCACTCATTTGAATGCTAATTATCATAGGAGATGAGGAAATTATCATCATAAATAATTTATGATGTTTAATAATGAAATTTATAGAGATCATAAATGCTAAGATTTTGACATAGATGATGGCTAATGTGTTAGCATTCCTTGATATGAATGAAAGAAGAGTTTTACATGAGAATCCGAGTCAAATTTTCAGAAGTCAGACCAAATTTTAGATAAAATACTACTCAGAGATTTTACAGAGGACTTCTAAGATTTCGTGTTTGAGGTTTACCATAGGAGCAAACCCGTATAATTAATTACCCCTCTTGATAGTGGGAAAACACTTTCTATTAAATATATAGTTATTAGAACACTGATAATCCAACATATAGCAGCAACAATCAGATTACACATTATGAAAATTATCATCATGAGCTTAAGATAAATGATGAGGAGAATATTGACAAACTAAATCGAGAACACATGACGGAGTCATATCATGTTGCCAAGGATTTTGAAATAATTAGTCAGAAGAGATAGTTGACCCAATCTGACAAAAAAATTATTGTCAGCCCCCATGTTGATTCAAGTGAGCTTTATAGATCTAAACTGAATATTATTTAAGGAACAAATTCAAGTCAATCTTAGCTAACAAAGAGCTTAGTGTCCCATCGAGTATAACTTATGATTCACAATTTGAAGTTATTAAGGAACATACAAACTACAACTATGACAGTAATATAATGAAATTATCTGACCAAATCATCCGGTCAAAAAACTCTGATAATAACCTTTTTTTTTTGGTGGAGCTCACTGGTCAAACCAAAATGACATATAATTCAAGCCACGTCTTTACGATTGAGATTATTTTTTTAGTGCAAATGCAATAGTACATTTAATGAGGTATTAGCTCCTAAGCTCTGGTTAATCCTAGGCTCTAGTACATTCATCTGTATCTTTTTGTTGAGGTAGTACTGTATTTGGTATCGTATGGATATGGTGCATCTATTGGGCCCTCTCATATAACATTCATTTATCTTTTTTATTTCAATAAAATCAGCCCTTGGGCTTTTTCAAAAAAAAAAAAAAATAAATAAATAAATATATATATATGATCTCGCCGGTGAACATAATCCAAACTCCGTCATCTTCGTATGTTAGAATTTCGCCTCACAGCGAACCTTAGCCTCTGCCACGATAATTTCACGCTCGAAGGAGTTCGTTCCTCCGTTTCTTCTTCCGTCGTCTTCGGCTGATTTGTCGAGCTGCGCCTTTATGTTTGTTGCTCGCTGAAGGACGAGCTATAGAGTCGATTGCGGCTCGTCTTCTACGGCTTTGTCTCGACGTTTGTTTCGTCCCGACGTTAACTTCTTCTCGACGCTCTCAGCAGGAGACGCCGACTGCTTCGTCCCTTCGACCCGACGCTCGACCGACTGCTACGGGATTTCGAGATTCAACAGGAGACGCCGACAACTACAGAAACTGCTATGGCCTTGACGATGCGTTCCTATGCCAATGCATTTGCCGGTGAATTTTCTATTCCTACTCGCGCTCCTCTTTCAGGTTCAAAGTTTGGTTTTAATATTGGCAAATTCTGCAATGTTCCTCAATCTTTCCATGACGCTCTTGAAGGTGGTGGTGATCACAATTTCATTAAAAAATTTGGCAAAAAAAAGGAAGCCGACTCTTATTCTCACAGAGATTGAAACCAGTACTCTCGTGTCCTCTTGACGTTTTGCTCTAATGGGAAAATTCCTTTATGGTCACCCAAAACTGGAGATCATTCAGAAAGAGTTTGATGCTATGAAGCTATTGGACAGTTGAAATATTGACTTACTTGACGGTCAACATATACTTATTCAGTTATCTCATGATGTCAATTACACTCGCATTTTCTCTCGAAAAGTTATCAAGATCGATAACCGTTTTTTGAAAATTCTGAAGTGAACTGTTGATTTTGATCGAAAAGCGAAGTCCCCTATCATTCTTGTTTGGATAAATTTTCTGGGGTTAAAATTACTTTGTTCAACATGAAAAATTCTCTACTCTTTAGTAACTGCTTACGATAAGCCTCTCAAGATTGATAATCCTACGTTTGTTGTCACCAGACCCTCTGTGGTTTGTGTGTTAGTTGAAAGAAATATCACTCAACCAACTCCGGATGAGGTATGGATTGACACTACTCACAATGGGTATTGACAAAAAGTCGAAATAGAACCAAACCTTCCTTATTGCTCTCATCATAATATGTTTGGTCACAATTCTACTATTTGTCATCACTTACATCCTGATCTAAGGTCGAATATCGCTAAAGATCAGCCACCTACCATCACTGCTGAGAAGGTGCAACCCGAACCTCTTTCCAGCACCGCAGTTCCAGATGAAGAACACCATACTACAGGTACAGATCCAAATGTGTTGATACCACTCACTGTTATTGAAGAAGACCCACTGACATGCCAAAACACACGAGAGTGTTCCTTCGATCCGATAAAAGATCAGCAGTACAACAAGAAGTTGCTTCTAATGTTCAATAACTTACACATATCCGACACACTTTAGATCATTCCATTGATCAGATGAGCCAATCTTCGGATGAGGAATAACAAGTTTATTCCATGAGGAAGAAGAAGAACGGAGGTCGACTCGAGCTCGGGAATTTATTGGATGACACATTGGAACTACTGGCAATGACACTCATATTACCAATTTATTAGCTGACTCCTTCCCTAGAACTGGAAGCAGAGACATGCAAAATTGGGTCGCTCTCTAGCTACCTGATAGTACGTATTTTGGCACTTTTTAGTTTTTACTTGAAGTCTCATGTATTTTGTTGTATTTTCTCTTTTTGGAACCATTTGATATGACAATTATCGTGTGGGCAGGGTGTCATGTTTGGGCCCTCCTATACAATATATTTGTATCCTACTTTTTATTTAATATATTAGTCTTTGGGCTTTCTCAAAAAAAAAAATAAATAATAAAATATATATATATACAAACACTCCCAAATATCTATCTACAAGAAAATTAAACAAAAATATGATATCAATACGATTTAAGAATACTTCAATATTTCAAAGTTTGATGGAGGGGAAAGGGGATACAAAATTCAAGGATGTTTACAACTTTTATTATGATTGTGGAGGGTTGGAGTGAAAGTAGCTAAATTTTTTTGTTCATTGTTTTTCCCAATGTTCCCTAAAGGAGAAATAATTGTATCAGGACATCTGCTGCAAGTTTGCATCAAATGTCCAATAATAAGGAGGCACGTGGCAATTTGGGCCGACTGACATACACGATTCGGGCCCGGGTTGCCACGTGGCACCCTATTATTGGACATCAGATGTAAAATTACATCAGGTGTTCTGATACAATAATTTTTTCCCTAAAGAGTAAGTTTATAATATTATTATACAGAGTATCTCATATATATATTTTTTGTTAAAATATATACAGATGTATATATTTTTATTAAAATATATAAAGAGTAAATTTACATCAGCTCAATCATGGTAGACACATTCTTATTCAAATTAATAATGAAGAAGATTACACACACTTATTTGCTAGAAGGATAATCTGAATTGATAACAGAGCAATGAAGATCCTGAAATGGTCAGTGAATTTTGTACGGAACCGCCAATCATTCCGGTTTGAATTTGACTTCCTGGTCTGAAATTTTATTATTTTTCTTAAAAAGTAACTCAAGACGGACATTCCTACTTTTAATCTTTCCCGTCCATCTGAAGTCCGAGTACTTGTTGAAAGAGACATTACTTCTTCCGCTTCTTTGGAAATATGGTTGGGCATACAGCATCATGGATATTGGCAGAAGGTAGAGATTGAGTCTTTTCCTTTGTATTGTTCGAACTGTCGCATGTTCGGCCACTCGAGTTCTCAATATTCTCAATATCCTCATCTACATCCCCACCTCAGACCAAAAAAACAAAGTGCTCCGCTAGAGTTAGTGATTCAAATTCCTTCTGATCAGCTCCAAGTTTTTGACACTATTGATCATCAAAA